CAGAAAAAATCAGATCTCCAACCACCACAGCAGATCTGTTTGGAAAAATAATAACCACCATCACTACTAACATTTTTAACTCAAATTGGTGACCATAAATACTACATTTACCTCAAATCCACAACAACCATCACTACCATAACTTCCACCAACCCTTCAAAGAATACTAACCAACACTACCACACTTCTCTCGTGAAACTCCGATGAGAGAAGTAGTAGGTGGTCGGAATCTAGAGGGTGGGTGGGAAAGAAGTCATAGATTTGATTTTTGGGTAAGAGAGTGTCGAACTAATTTTTGGGGGAAGAAATAGAATATTTGGGTTAAAAATTGATATAAGATCTGGGGTAAATTGACACGGGGTATGTGACCAAGTTTGTATTCAATGTGACTGTCTGTAACCAAATCAATCTCAAGTCACAACCCATCACAATCAACACAAAATATGTCACAAATAGTCACAACTAGATCTCGAACAGAAAAAACCAGATCTCTAACCATCATAGTAGATCTGTTCGGAAAAATAATAACCACCACCACCACCACTAACATCTTTAACTCAAATCTACAACAACAATCATAACTACCTTAACTTCGACCAACACCTTCAAAAAACACCAACCAATTGATTATTGAATATTTCTCAATAAAGATTTTCAAGATTCTTCTTCAATTATTTCTCGAAAAGATGAGGAAGATTATGAGAGAGAAGCCGTAGATCTGATTGTTCTTCACCATATGATCCCACATTCATGTTCAGTTTTCTTCTCCTCAGAGAGTGGTTCTATTTTAGGTGACCCATTTACTGCATTGGCACTTACCTAGAATCTAAGCTCATCAGCTTTCAAAGAAGAGATTTATGCGAAACTCCAGCGAAAGAAGTGGTAGGTGGACGAAATCTAAAGGGTGGGGGTCGGGAAGAAGCCACTGATGCGAATTTTGGGTAAGAGAGTGTTGAACAATTTTTGGGGAAGAGAGAGAGAGTGTGTGTAGGTTAGAAAATGAATCGGAGTATGGGGTAAAATAAGTTTTTAGGGGTGGTAGAGTGGGTGGGTGTAATTAATTAATTTAAATATTAGTATTTATCACCTGACTATTGAAATTTAATCTTTCACCACTTTGTTTTAGAAGTGTAATTTTGAAAAGATGGGATCTAGGTAATTTTCCTTTAAAACATTATACTATAAAACAAGGCCCAATATCTATATAGACAACTTAATAGGCCCAACGTCCGATACACCGAGAGAATTTTGTTTTTGAGTTCACATTTAGAATCTTCAATTGGTCTTCCGGCAATTTGGCAGGACTTTTATTTCTTGTAAGCTATTTTAGTTGGTTTTTCCAAACTAATTTTTAAAAGAATCTTCTCTTCCTAAAGAACTTTTAGAAGAAGCCATGTTGGATAAGCTTATCTTAAAAACTCTTCAAGTTAAAAGAAATATTTTTATAAAATTACTTAAACGGGTCTAAAAACAACTTTGATTCACAAAAGCTCCTTTTAACTTCTCAAAAATCATGCCAAAAGGATCTTTCTTCTCTTCATCTTCAAACCTTGGACGAGAAGATTTTGTAAGTTCTATATTGATGTGTTTTCCAATTCCCTTAGTCGTGTCAAAGACAGTATTGAAATGCAAGGGTTTAGGTCTCCAATATTGTGCCAAAAAGCCCTTTAGAATTGTCCAAATTCAGCATCCATTTATTAAAAGATTTGAAATGTATGTGCTAAGATTAAAAGATTTAAGACCTGGCTTCACATTTTTTTTTTAAAGTTTGGAAACTCTACTAATTCTCATAACTCAAGTAATAGAATATTGAAACTTATAATTTTATTAAGCTCCTATTTGATTTTTTTTTTTAAGTATTATTCTTAATGGATTTTGATAAAAGTTGATAAGGCAAATGATTGAATAGTTGATAAAAGTTATGGATCTCATGAAATATGTAATTGAAAATGAAATTTTAAATCAAGTATATTTTAAAAATTGAGGGTCAAATAGGGGCCAAATATAAATTGATAAAATACTCAATTTTAAAAAGTCGGAGCTTGATTTTAATATTTGGCTAGTCAAAATAAATAGCATCTCAATTTAGCTTTGTTTGAACCTCAATTTTTTGGGATATTAATTTTATAATAGTGATTTTTTTGGAGAATATGTGGTTAAAAATAGGAAAAAAAATTGAGTTTATGTGTACAATTATTTTATTGAAAATTTTCTGATTAAAAGTTAATTTTAAAAAAATAATTTTCTAAGGAATGAGAATCAAGGATATGTCATTTGTACAATGATTTTTGACTATTTTCAATCGTGTTTTATGTGTTAAAAAATGGTTTAATAAAGCATAGCAAAATCAATCTTCCTATAGTGATATGCTCAGCGATAGAGTCAATAACAAAGTGAACACATGTCAATCTTTGATTGGATAGTTTGAAAAAAATAATACAGTACCCAATCCCGCGCTGTCACCCCACCCTGTCAATAATCCCTATCTAAGGAGCATAATTGTAGCAAAACCTAAAGAATTAAGCCAAACGATCATAAAGGTTGACACAACGGTTGATCGTGCTCTCACATGGTCAAGGTGGGTCCGGCCTAAATTTAAAATTCCTGACCCTCATGTGTGTGTATGCGGTCATCCCTGGGGTTCGTGTAGCTCGGTCCAATCATAAATGAGCTGGCACTATGTGGCATTCATGAAATCACTATTTTATTTAATTAATTTTTATCATTTTTTCCCGGATGTTGGTAAGATTATATTATTATTCTCTTTAGTTTACTGCTATTTAAATAATAATAATAATAGTAATAGTAATAGTAATAGTAATAAAAGACATTGATGTGGTTGAAAATGCAAGCATATGACATTAAAATTGTCATTTAAAGCTTGTTGGATGCAATTTTTAAAAAAAAAATAGATTGTTGATAAATAATTTTTGAGAAAATGTATGGTTAAAAAATTATAAATTATCAGGTAAAATTATTTTTGGTAGAATATATGGTTGAAAAAGGGTTTGAGAGAAAAATGTATTTTCGAAAATGAGGATTAAACTGGGGCTTAATTGACTTTAACTATGGTATCATTTGTTTCTAAGATATTTAATTATATATTTTTCTGGAGGGTTGGGTTGTATTTAACTTATTATAAGCTGTTGAATCTTTAACTTCATATTATTTTTGGCATAACTTAATTATTGCATTTCCTTTTCATCATCATCGAATTACTATTTTAGTGTGGGCTGGGAGAAAAATTGGTAGTGAAGTCGTTTCGTGGCATCAATTATCATTTTGAGCATGTTTGGGCAGTGGTTGCTTCATTTTAGAGAGAACCACACCCAAACTAGGGAGTAGAAATTCAAATTACCATTTACATAGGCTTATAAGAAGTATAGTTATGTCTCCAAAAATTTATAAGGTTGAAAAGGAGTACTAGTTCGCGATAGCTTGTCGTGCTAGTCACCTTAGTCTACCTTTTCTAGATCGATATTTATTTCCTTTGTTTGGCTTCAATTTGAGTGGTTGACTCTCTCTCCATGATCTAGCCTTCAAATGATTTTGATGATGTTTGTCAAATACACAACTGTCAAAAGTAAGATCAGGCAGAGTATAATTCGGTTGTATAGAAAGAAACCTCCGAAGTGTTTGATCGTCAAAAGAAAAGTTGTAGCATTTCCTATTGATTTGTTTAGAGGATGTAAGCTTTCTCGTCTAAAGGCAATGAGAACTTTCTCACTATACATGACCACTAGGAACGAAAGATCAACAATAATGTAGGAAGAGGAGCACGAGCTATCCTTTGTATAGGCAGAACTAAATGATTACAAGATAGAGAACGAGTAAGGTAACATTAACAATTTAGATCTTTTTATCCGATGTTCGAGGGGCTTCATTTTTCTTGTCAGGCATTTCTAAAAAACTAGTATTTTACCACAAGTAATTCTTGTGTCGTTGTCACAACAATGGTCACCCAGAAATAATTATAATTGTTGTAAATACCTCAGGTAGAACTCGATTTTAAGATTCCACCGTACATTCAAAACACTAGCATTTCTTGAACAACATTTTTAGACCACTCTATCCAAATCATTCAGCAAAAATAATTTCTTCGTTTTTAGGCAGTTTTTGGAATGACTAAAATATCAAATTAACAATAAAATAGATTCTTATTTCAAATCAAGTTATTTGCAACTACACTAGTTTCAAAAAACTTATTACTGTGAACCCAAAACTATTTCTTATAAGTTTGTTTCAAATATCTTTATTCTCGTCTATTGCACCTTTTATCTTATCAAATTAGTCAAATACATTTGATAAAACATGTTTATCTTCCTTACAAAACTAGATAAAAGTTATTTCTTAACGTTGAAGCATTAGAAAAGAGATCACGAAACTAAAAGACTTTCCCTTTTTATTATAATTAAGTTTCGTAAGTCTTAACATAGTGATGAGGCTTTGATAACAAACTCTCTTAATCAAATTTGACACGTAACTGAATTGATAAAAATCTATATTATTTGAATTGAAAATTTTATCATTAAAAATAGATCAAGTCATCCCTTCATTGTTTGATTTTGATTATTTGATAATCATTTCTCTTTCACTCAATTTCAAATCGCACATCCTAAAAAAATTATAATTTTTCATGTCTCTTCAGAATATTTTCATACTTTTAGTCATACATTCAAAGAAAAAAAGAAGAAGTTATTTTAAAAAATTTGCTTCTTAAAAAATCTTTAACAAACAAGCCATCGGTTACATTTAGGGAGTTGTTCGAACCCCATTTTTCTCAAAAAAATCCATTTTGAATAGTGTTATAATGGAGAATGTGTAGTTAAAAAATAATAAAAAATTTTGTGTTTACGTATAATATTATTTTATTAAAAAATATGTAGTTGAATTGATATTAAATCCCTGTTAAAGAATGTAATTTTAAGACAAAAATGGACTCAAACAAGGGCTTAGACACGCTTAATCATATATATATCAGATTCAAAGAAGGCCTTTTTGGATAAACATCAATTTTCTCGTCACCTTGCCGAAAAAAACAAGGTTGCATTTTTGGTGCTCCGGTGATGACTAAGCAGACTCGATCCAAATTTCTCTCATATAATTACGCATTATAGACTCTTATCCTTCACTTTACTATCCCTTCTCTTTCTTCATTCTGGTCCCTTCAATTCAGAAATATCTTGGAATTTCAGGTCTCCTTTTTTAGTTTTTCTTTTTGTCGTTTGTTACTTTTTTCGATGATTATTGGATTCTATATGTGAAAAATGCGATTTTGATAAGTGGGCGTCGTTTATTTACATTGAAATTTGTTGGGTTTTTTTCCGCAGTGAAATTTAGCAATGGGCAGTGCTTCATCGATGTTAACTCAGTATGACATTGAAGAAGTTCAAGAACACTGTAATTATCTGTGTGAGTACCCTTTTGCTGATTCCCAGAATTTCGATTCTTGTTTTTATCTAATTTTCAATTTCTGCTGAGCTGAATGTATTTTTTTATTTTCTGTAATAATATAGTTACTCAGCAAGAAATAGTGTCTCTGTATAAGAGATTTTGCCAACTCGATAAGAATGCAAAGGGGTTCATATCAGCAGATGAGTTTTTATCAGTACCTGAGTTTGCAATGAATCCACTTTCTCAGGTGATTTTGAGCACGTGTGGCTAGTTTGAAAAAAAAGTTAAAAATCACTTACTTCGAAAGTAACCGTTGAAGCTTCGGCAAACACGCTCTTTTGTCGTGGTTGTCATTCTGTTATTCTTATTTGTATACATGTTCGATGATTTTTTATTCTTTTTTATTTTTTATTTTATTATTATTATTTTTTTGGATGCATATAGAGGCTTCTGAAGTTGGTGGATGGATTGAATTTCAAGGACTTCGTTGCATTCTTGTCAGCTTTCAGTGCTAAAGCAACGGTGCCTCAGAAAATTGAGCGTAGGTCTATTAAGCCTCATTTGTATTCGGAATTTAATGCATACAAAATCTTCTGTTTCACGGTCAGTTCATTGCTACTAGTACTTTTTCGTGTTGATTGATCTAGAAATAGAAAGATTTAAGTTTGGATATTTAAATCTGTTTGGTTTTGACATAGATTTTACAAAGTATTCTTTCTAGAATCTGGTTTAATTATAGGACCAAATGAAATTTCATTAGTCCCGGAATGAGGATTCATGGTAACTCTAAGAAACCCTTATGATTACATCTCCGAAGAGAGATGATTCATTTCTTGGAATTGGTTATGAGGAGAAATGTTAATCTATAGATTGGAATTGACAAATGCATAAGCATTTTCAGTTATTTTTGGTTAGCGAAGCGTTTTTTGTCTTTTCCTTTACATTTTCTTATATTTTTAGACTATTCTTCCTTTTTATTTTGGGTAAATCTTCTTAGCAAAGTTTATTACATTATTCTTCTGATGTTTTATTTTAATTCCAATCAGTGATCCTATTGACCTGGTGAATACTTAAATGTAAATAATTTAGCATATGCTGTTCTCAGTACTTCTTCAATTTATTAACTCTGTACGGTGCTTTAATGTCTCAGTTATCTTCAAAATATACGACTCTGATTGCAATGGAAAGGTAACATTTAATGACATAATACAAGTGCTCCATGATTTGACTGGCTCATTCATGTCAGATAAGCAAAGAGAGGTATTACAATGCTCCTGTTTTATTCTGCTATTTTGTTCTGTATAATGAATCCGGTGTTTCGGAATTTAACTTGGCAAGTTTTAGGTTGCTAAATTATTTTTTGTATTGGACCAAAATCACGAGATAAGAGTTGTAAAAGATAAGATCATTTGTAGGGCTTCTGCTGTGTGTTAAATGATCCATGCCAAATTAGGGTCTGAGTAGCGGAACCATAAATGGTTGTAACTTTAAGCCAGCCTCAATATTTATACACTTACACAGTAGTTTTGATAGTTAACTGATTAAATGTGATAATAATTTGTCGACGGACAACGAATGAGTTGTATAAACGTTTTCTTTATCTTTACATTACTTTTAAGAAATCTCTACTCTTACATCGTACTTATATTTTCTGAGTGTTTTTTACATCATTGCATTTAATTCTGTGTTTTGCAGGAAGTATTAAGCCAACTTTTGCATGAAGCTGGTTATACAAGGGAATCTTATCTTCTGTTAGATGACTTTGTCAAGGTTCGTCTGTCTGAAATACTATTTTCTGATGGTCTATTTGTTTGTTAACTTATATATAGATTCATATGACACACGAGCATGTTTGACTAAGCGTAAAAATAAATGTTGTTCCAAACATTACTTACCAGGGTGGGAAAAAAAATTTTATTCTGATAGTTAGGTGACATTACTTTCAAAATAAATAACTTCTTATTCTTAATCTTGACCAATAAAAAGGTTATTACTTTTAATAGAAACTTATTTACTTATATAAGTAAATGTTTTTAGCTTATCAAACACGCACATTTTCAAGCTGCTTCCTTATTAAGCGGTGAAATTTACTTGTACCATGCTCGTATCATCCTACATTTCATTGCTGGCTCCTTTAAATTATGGCTTTAAGAGACAAGTCCTGGCAGGCAAAAGTTTCTATTCAAAAATGTGTTATAAAAAGACAATAAACTACAAAGTTAATCGCCAAAAGAGTTGACATGTTAAATAGCTAGATCAATGTGCTTGTGAACGATAAAAACTCTCAATAAAATATGTTCCGAAATTCCAGGAATGCGTAGCCAAAGGTTCCTCTAAAAATCTGCCCCGAGCTTTCTTACTTTAACAGCATCTAGAAGAAATGTCAGAAAGTTGTCGTCCTCTTCTGTCTTAAAATGTCATTCTCCTCTAGTTTGGTCGTTTGCATTTTAACAAAAATAGTCCTCTAATAGCATATGTTTGATATGCAGTACTTGTTTGAATTTGACGTGACACTACAATAAACAAAATTTCGAATTCTTTTTCTTTTTTAATACTATTGAGTATTGTAGAGCCCACCCCTGAAAGAAGTGCAAGTTGTGGAATGCTAGACTAGATATGTTTGACTTGCCCAACGACAGGCGTAGCTCAGGATAAAGTTGGACGAAGCTGCTTAACATTTTGATTCTTCTAGCTTTGTTTTTCTCATATGTGATATTTATCATTGTTAAAACGCTCTTGTTTCAGATATTAGACAACCCGGGTCTAAAAATGGAGGTGGATGTCCCGGATGACTAGCAAAGCCCGCTCTTCTCATCTCGTCATTGATAGAAGATAAATGGAATTATGGAAGAGTATTCAGGCTTGAGGCTTCCCATTGTAGATGTGCACATGTGTACCTGTATTAGTGTTCCTCATTTTCGTTTTTTCTTAAGATAGGAAAAGGAATATCTATACTTACAATTGAAAATAAGCCTTGTGTACTTGGATAAAACTGTGCATATTTTTGTCTTGTGTTGTTTATAGTCTTTTATCAAGACATTATGGTGCATACTTTTCTCAGTTTTCAGACTTTTATGCACCCAAAAAGTGTCCCCTGAAGCCGATGCCCATAGTGATTTGTGGGATATGAAAATTAACAATCTTTTTGCAATATCGAATCATTGAAATTTAGTAATTTCAGATCTAAAATGGGATAGGGTTTGAGGAAATAATGATCATTCTTTTATTTAATCCTCAAAATCCAGCAAATGAAGTTTTTCTATTCTTCGTTACTAGGTTGTTTTTAGCCTCCATTCTTTTTTTTTTTTTTGGGTATAGAATGAATTTTTGAATAGTAAATTTTGGGAGAATATTTGATTAAAAAGTAAGAAAAGTTTTGAATTTACTGGTTTACCTCTCCAAGATTTATATCACATTATATCGTGCAGACCTGCAGCCAAAGTTTGCTGCTTGACTTAGTAGGCGGAACTAATCTCTTTCGGAAGAAACACACTTCATTCGTTAACCGCCTTGACCATGTAAATGCTAAATTTAGTACCCAATTTATCTTACAAAAATAATGGGACCAATCTTGCAACAGCTAAATTCATTGTCTCTTTCACACACCCACCCACCCACCAAGTAGAATCTCATTTATCTTACAATCTAAGCAAAGGAAACTGAATAAACTCACGTCAATTACCTCTGCAATTCTCTGTTGTAAGCAAAGACATCCACTTTTGTAGACTGCTTGATTACTTGGGGAGATGGAAACTGCGATAACCACGTTGTCCAGTCTGAGTTACGAGGCACTAGATTATGAAGACAGAGAGTTTTTGGGCAAAAAAAGAACCTGGCATCGATATGTTGTCGAGGCTGGTACATCCAAAAACAAGGAGAAATCATTAGATTTAAGGGCTTCAACTTCGAATCATACGGTGACTGATATTTCATCCGAGAGTTCATTTGAAGAGAGAAAACTGGTGGCTAGTGCAAAGGAAATTAAGCGTCTAGATGAAAGGTTGAGGATTCTTGAAGAGGAAGATGAAATGCTGAAGAAAGCTCTCATGGAAAGTTTGGAAGAAAGAACCAGGCTAAAGACTGAGGTATATCAGTATATTGAAACTCTACAGCTTTGTCATGTAAAAGGAGCACAAGAAATGGGAGAAGTGTCAATGGATGGAATTAATATAATTAAGCCTCTTAAGGTAATGTCTTTCTATTTATGCATAAAAGTTATCTTTTTCCCCAAAATAATCAAAAATTGCCTGAATTATACACGTATTATGTTACCTTTGCCTATTGGTTCTCTGTTCAACCATGTATCAGTTCCAGCAGTGCTTTTCCGTCTGGTATATCTAAAGGTGTTAAAAATATGCCGGTCTTCCTAACATTCGACTGTGCAAAGAAAGAGCAGTAGACTAGATCAACCTACAAAAACGAAACGGTCCCTATAACCAGTAAAAATAAATTTAGAACTCCATTTCAAATTCAATTTTTTCCTTCCTTTTCTTCGTTTCGAACCGAAAATAAAAGAATTGAGTAAATCAAAAATCCAAAGGATGTTCATGACTAAGGGAAAAGACGAGCGAGTAATGGTGATTTATAATGTACCAGTTGTTTCCGAAATGGTGTTAAGAAGGTAAATTCAAAAATCCCGTAGGCTGGGCCGCCTCAAAACAGAGTCGTACGCTCGTGCTTACATGTGTAGCTCTACCAGAATCAATTAAACACTCTTGAGATGAAAAGATAATGTGCTCGTGTTAGCAATACCTGTGACTAATTTTTATACCCAATTTGAGGAGTTCGTTATTTCTGCCTCATTATTAGTTTTGATTTTTGATTGGGGTGAATTACAGGACAGAAGGGAAGGTCTACTGCAAGTTTTGATCCAAGAATCAAATCCATCACTGGTCACCAGAGACTTAAGACCCAGAGCAGTAGGTTTAGGAATCCAAAAAGTTCAATTGACATGATCATCAAACTAAGCCTCGCCCCAGATTTGAATCCAGCAGTTCAGCCGCTAATGTAATTTGTTGCTTTGGAGTAATATTTATCGAACTATCATAGGCACGTTCAAATCTTTTTTTCTTTAGACAGTTCATTCAAAAGAAATTACAGTTTCAGAACTGCTAATGATAAAGGCAGAGGAGCAAAAAAACCAAAAATATTAATGATAAAGAAGCTCATTCAAACTGAAAGCACTGCCGAAAATTCAAGTACATATATAGTCGGCTCATTACGAATTGAAGGAGTTGCTCAAAATATTTGCAAAATACAAATTCATATGTCTAAAAACTTCCGATCACATCTCCCCTCGGTAACCTCCAGACCCGAAATAATCCCTCCTCGAGCTAATAATTTGCATGCTCTTCTGATGCTCTAACTTGGGGCAATCACGGATACGATGACCAAGCCCACCACAATAAGCGTATCCTTTAACCCCACTCTCGTTGGCTATTTCCTCCAAGCCTTCCATTGGATCATGAAGCTCGGCCAGAACTGCAGGTGTCCTCTGCTTCGCCTCTGTGCTTCAGGTCTCGTCTGGGCCGTCCGTTTCTAAGCCGTCTGGAAAACAGGAGGCCCAGCAGTCCGGGCCGTCGGTTTACGGCTGGGCCGTCGGCTTACAGTCGGCCCAGACGTCCGGGATGTCTGTTTACAGTCCGCCCAGCAGTCTGTTTTTACAGACAGCTGAGCCGCCTGTTTAGACAATCTGTTGGGCCGTCTTTTCCAGACGACAACTGGGCTTCCCGCAATTTTTTTTATCGTTGTATTTCATAAATAATTTAAATATACAAAAATAAATAATGAATATTAAAATAATAAATAAATAATTATTTAAATGATAAATAAAAATGTAAATAATAAATAAATATTAATAATCAAAATATATAACTAAAATTTAGTTGAAATAAATTTCTAACATTTAAAATAAATAATTAAATATTTACGTTTATTTTTTCAATAAATAATTTAAATAATCAATCAATATAAATAATTAAATTAAATAATTTAAATGAACAATTGAAACAAATAAATGAAAAACAATTGAAATAAATAATTAATTTAAATGCACAAAAATAAATAATGAACATTTAAATAATAATAAAATGATTATTTAAATGATAAATGAAAAATGTAAATAATGAATAAATGTTAATAATCAAAATATGTAATTAAAATTTAATTGAAATAAATTTGTAACATTTAAAATAAATAATTAAATATTTATATTTACTTGTTCAATAAATAATTTAAATAATCAATCAATATAAATAAGTAAGTCAAATAATTTGAATGAACAATTGAAACAAATAAATGAAAAACAATTGAAATAAATAATTAATTTAAATGGACAAAAATAAATAATGAACATTTAAATAATTATTTAAATGATATATGAAAAATGTAATGAATAAACATTAATAATCAAATATGTAATTAAAATTTAATTGAAATAAATTTCTAACACTTAAAATAAAAATTAATTATTTACAATTACTTGTTCAATAAATAATTTAAATAATCAGTCAATATAAATAATTAAATCAAATAATTTAAACAAACAATTGAAATAAATATGTAATTTAAATGCACAAAAATAAATATTGAACATTTAAATAATAATTAAATGATTATTTAAATGATAAATGAAAAATGTAAATAATGAATAAATTTTAATAATCAAAATATGTAATTAAAATAAATTTCTAACATTTAAAATAAATAATTAAATATTTACGTTTACTTGTTCAATAAATAATTTAAATAATCAGTCAATATAAATAATTAATCAAATAATTTAAATGAACAATTGAAACAAATAAATGAAAAATAATTGGAATAAATGATTAATTTAAATGCACAAAAATAAATAATGAACATTTAAATAATAATTAAATGATTATTTAAATGATAAATGAAAAATGTAAATAATGAATAAACATTAATAATCAAATATATAATTGAAATTTAATTGAAATAAATTTCCAACGTTTAAAATAAAAATTAATTATTTACGATTACTTGTTCAATAAATAATTTAAATAATCAATCAATATAAATAATTAAATCAAATAATTTGAATGAACAATTGAAACAAGTAAATGAAAAATAATTGGAATAAATAATTAATTTAAATGCACAAAAATAAATAATGAACATTTAAATAATAAATAAATGATTATTTAAATGATAAATGAAAATAATAAATAATGAATAAATGTTCATAATCAAAATATGTAATTAAAATTTAATTGAAATAATTTCTAACATTTAAAATAAATAATTAAATATTTACGTTTACTTGTTCAATAAATAATCAATCGATATAAATAATTAAATCAAATAATTTAGATGAACAATTGAAACAAATAAATGAAAAACAATTAGAATAAATAATTAATTGAAATGCACAAAAATACATAATGAACATTTAAATAATAATTAAATAATTATTTAAATGATAAATAAAAAATATAAATAATGAATAAATGTTAATAATCAAAATATGTAATTAAAATTTAATTGAAATAAATATTCAAAATAATTTATTTAATTTATTTAAATAAGTAATTAAATAAGAAATATAAATATTCAAAATAATTTATTTAAATAACTAATTAAATATAAATAATCCAAATTAATTAAATAAAGAATTGAAATAAACAATAAAGAATTAAAATAACTACGCAGGTTTCCAAGTCCACTAATGGTTATGTATTCATCATTGGTGGAGCTGTTGTATCATGAAAATCAACAAAACAAACGTGCATAGCTCGATCAACGATGGAATCTGAGTTTATTGCTTTAGAAAAAGTTGGAGAAGAAGTAGAATGACTTTGAAATTTCTTAAAAAATGTTCCATATTGGCCCAAGCCAGTACCTGCGATAAGTATACATTGTGATAGTCAATCGGCAATTGGAAGGGCTCGAAGCAGCATGTATAATGGTAAGTCAAGATATATTCGTCGTAGACACAACACCATTAAGCAACTGATCTCAAATGGCGTTATCTCCATAGATTATGTGAAATCAAAGAAGAATATTGCGGATCCACTGACGAAAAGTTTGCCTAGAGATCAAATGCGTTGCCTAGCCAGAGGAATGGGATTAAAGCCTACTACGTAAGAGTTTTTGTAATGGTAACCCTACTTTGTTGACTGGAGATCCTGATGGGCTTTTGATACCCAATAAATTTCGGGCTATGATATTAACGTGGGTTAATATTATTTCATAGACATGGGCCGATGAATAAAATAAGTCCAACAACCAAGTCCATGAGGTACTCCCGGCCCAATTATATTCCTTCTGGATGGCTTGAATCTTGGCCCGTTTACCTCTCTAATGGCCCAACTTAAAGCCTAACCCTAGAGTATATATGTGGATATAACTCTAGCCACTTTCTAATGATGATTGTGTGATTTTGATAGAAGAAACAAGAGAATCCCGACTGCCCCCCTTTGCGTGAGAAAAAAGGTGTCCAAAAGTGTTCAGAACGTTTGTATAACGTGTGCAATTGGTGGTTCTTTCATAGTATACCTTTGTGGTGTCTTCTCTTAGCTTTTGTGGCGATAAATCATTGTTCACGAAATAATTCTTTCGATTTAAAACTACCACAAGTGTACGGATCGTGACAAGTAATAAAGTGAATTTTTAAAAGTCCGAATATCATCCCACAGAAATTGAGTAGTTCAATTCTATATAATCTAGCCTTAACTGAATCTAATTGAGTGAAAATATGATCCAAATGCAAAAAGCCCTAATTTCAATTAAAAACCTAATTTCTCAATTAGGAACACTAATCTCGAAATTTCTCTAATTAAACGACTCAAACACTCAAGTAAATGAAATTATGCAAATTCAAAAACTAATTTATGGAAATGAATCAAAATAAAATCACTAGAATCACGAATCCCCAATTGAAGCTATAAAAATCCTAATTTCATAAAATCAATGACCCGATGGAAATTTGCCAATTCAATGTTCCTAAATCTATCCAACATATTCTCTCGATATATATTAGATCTATACTTGCACACCACCAGCCTATATCTCTATGGATGATGCAAATATACAAGAATGTATGTGGTTTTGTGAACAATTAGAGAATTGCATAAAGTATAGGGGTATATCTCTATCCCCTATCGGACCCTATGTTGATTTACACCTTATCGAACTTATTCCACTTCTCTCGAATGTAAGAAATAAGTCATCAACACTTACACAATCATTGGCCACTAATTGCGGAAGAAAATCAATGCATATAAACCAATCAAATTGTCCAAACAAGTCTTTACCATGAGGTACTCCCGGCCCAATTATATTCCTTCTGGATGGCTTGAATCTTGGCCCGTTTACCTCTCTAATGGCCCAACTTAAAGCCTAACCCTAGAGTATATATGTGGATATAACTCTAGCCACTTTCTAATGATGATTGTGTGATTTTGATAGAAGAAACAAGAGAATCCCGACTGCCCCCCTTTGCGTGAGAAAAAAGGTGTCCAAAAGTGTTCAGAACGTTTGTATAACGTGTGCAATTGGTGGTTCTTTCATAGTATACCTTTGTGGTGTCTTCTCTTAGCTTTTGTGGCGATAAATCATTGTTCACGAAATAATTCTTTCGATTTAAAACTACCACAAGTGTACGGATCGTGACAAGTAATAAAGTGAATTTTTAAAAGTCCGAATATCATCCCACAGAAATTGAGTAGTTCAATTCTATATAATCTAGCCTTAACTGAATCTAATTGAGTGAAAATATGATCCAAATGCAAAAAGCCCTAATTTCAATTAAAAACCTAATTTCTCAATTAGGAACACTAATCTCGAAATTTCTCTAATTAAACGACTCAAACACTCAAGTAAATGAAATTATGCAAATTCAAAAACTAATTTATGGAAATGAATCAAAATAAAATCACTAGAATCACGAATCCCCAATTGAAGCTATAAAAATCCTAATTTCATAAAATCAATGACCCGATGGAAATTTGCCAATTCAATGTTCCTAAATCTATCCAACATATTCTCTCGATATATATTAGATCTATACTTGCACACCACCAGCCTATATCTCTATGGATGATGCAAATATACAAGAATGTATGTGGTTTTGTGAACAATTAGAGAATTGCATAAAGTA